CACAATCACACCCCCACACCGCCGCACCTGAGCTGTGCGCCGTGTTGCCCCGGAACGCGATCAGCGGCCGCTGTGATGGATTGAAGGGGAACCCGTCCGGCCTCTTGATATCCTTGTGGTCCTTAATGGCGCGCGGCGCATTGGGGAACGTGAACCCCGCGAACCCGCCTGGCGGGACAGGGCGGGGCAGGTGGGGACGCCAGGGGGCGAGGGACGCGGGGAGGGGGGAAGGGGGGAGAGGGTTGGAAAAGGGTCAGGCGCAGAGCAAAATCAGGGGAGAAGGGTTTCAGTAGGTGGGCACGGGGGGCCGCTGTCGCTGTCTTCATATACTCGTTTTGTTTCATACGTGCAGTGTGTGTGTCTGTGTGCATGTGCGCGCGCGCGTGCGTATGGGTGAGTAAGTGGGTGCGTACGTGTGTGTACGTGTGTGGAGGTGGGGGCGTCCCAAGAGGGCCCCGCGGCGGCCCTTCACCTGACGCGGCGTTGTCGATCCATGAGTTGTAGGCGTTGAGCGCGTAAAACCCCGACGCGCCTGGGGTTTGGTTTGGGGTTTAGGGCGCGATTCAGTGCGGACACGTTGCTGGGTTGGAAGCGGGGATGGGTTCCATCGGCTCGAGGGGTTTGATTGGTGTGGATGGCAGATTTGAGGGTCCACTGCAGAGCAGCTTAGGATGCGAGGGCAGGCACCATCCCATGGTGAAAGCGTGACACTGCTGTGCACGACGAACCGGCGGTGCCAAACAGCAGAATTTCAACCCTGGGATGATCCGGCCGCCCGCAAGCGGCCGAGGCGAAAGCGCCGAAACAACCCTCTATCAAGCAGGACGAGCGAGGAGGACAGCTGCCTCCTCGCCCACGTGGCCGCGCCCGCACCCGCATCCGAGGGGTCGAAGAACGTGGGGCTCGCCCATCGATCGGTGCCTTGCTGGCCGCCGCCGCTGCCGGCGGTGTTGATGGGGTGGATGTAGGCCGCCAGGTTGCGCTCCAGCACGTTGCGCTCCTCGACGCCGTCCTCTAGGTAGTAGCCTGATTGGGGAACGATGTCGATTGATAATTCGTCAATCAAAGGGTTTCAAGCGATTGGCGCGGTCAATGTCTGCAACCCATATGAATGGAATCTTCTGCAAACAACGGCCCGCCGGGAGGGGTGGCAGCCAGGCGCCCGGCCAGCGACGCAAGGCAGGAGGCCGCAGCCGGCCGCAAGCAGAGGGCCGCTACGTGCCCAGGCAGGGCGTGGGTGCTATGGGGGACGGCTGCCAGGTGTGGCGCATGTCCGCCAGGTGGCGGAGGGCGACGTGGGACGGGGGGTCTCCCAGAGG